GACGAACCACTGCGAGCTTGTGAGCTAGGGTATATTGCTCTGTAACGGGTGAAAAAAAAAAAAAAAAAAAAAAAAATTCTGAGGAGACACGATCTTATCAGCCATCACCGAAGTGAGATCCTCTATTCAGCTAACTACAGGAAAGGTCCTCACCGGCCTTTTTCGCACACTTGTCTCATGGTGTCGCCTGTGCTTTCAGCACCATTTATGACCACCATGAGACACCAGGGAGACGAGAGCAAAGAGGATGTACTTGCGGGTAAGCGAGGCAGCCACTCGACCAGCGGCCGTACGTGTTCAGCTTTTCGGCTGTCTTTGTACGCAGCCCCCCTGCTTCTTCTCTGCGTTCCCGATGTTGAAGACCCAGTCTTTGTGGGCAGGAGATTTGCCGTGTGTCGTGAAGACGGATCTCTCATGGTTTCGCCCGCGCGTTCCGCTCCAGTCCGTCTGTGTGTCTCTTCCGTGTCATCCGCCTTACAAGACGCAGCCGTATCCGACGTTCTATCTCAGTGCCTCGATGTCGACCGTTACCTTCCATCTGGTGTGAAGCTTCTGCTACCCCTGCGACGTCAGCGCCCACAGAAACAGCGGTCGCTGCAGCAGCTGGGCTGCTCCACATCGTGCGTCACTGCAAATCGCACATCAGCCGGACCGGACTGATGGGGCGGAGGCGGTCTCGGCCTTCTTCAAGCTTGACTATATGTGTTTATATATATACGAGCTGACTGTGTGTCTCTAAGGCTTCGTCATTTATTTATTGTCCGTAGCCGACAACAGATAATGTCTTTCGCACCTGCAGGGCTCCCCCTCCTTGCAGCCTGTTCATCTCACTGAGATGGATTCCCTGCACGGCCTGTTCCTGTCAAGGCAGATCCTACTTGCTTTCGTAGGCATACCTGCACATAAGAGAGAGAAGGCACACAATCGGCCTCTGCTGTCCAGCAGTCCCTCCTTACCCGAAGTAGGCAAGCTGTCTATGGTCGCCACAGTGTGGGTCCTTTCCAGGAATTCTGACACCTCGGATCCTGACTGCGGCAGTCTTGCCTCCCGCTCTCATGCTACATCGCTCCTTATTATCCAGGACCGCCTTGGACTCGCTCATGGCATTTCCGCTCTTCGGGTCCACACGCCAGATCTAGATTGGCCCATGATTGACCTCTCTCCGCCCATTGATCAAATCTGTATGGGCGTACGCACACAAGTAAGGTGCTGGTACGCCATGTGCGTTGGGCCCACCAGAAGAAGACTGCCGACAGTGTATCCACGAGCTCGTCAAGTTCTCCCAGGTCGATATCCACTTCCTCTCCCGCGTCGATGCACACTGTCCCAAAAGCAGCCCCGGCGGGATGCTTCAGACCCTTCTCATCGAAGCGCTGGGCCTTCAACACGGCTTCCCCCCCCACAACCTGAGGTCAGAGCCGACGAGTGATCAATGCAGCCCTGTCTGTTTGTCTGTCTGTCTGTCTGTCTCCAAGTGTTCTTGCCTGTCAAAGCCATGAGTGCTCTTTCCGTTGTCAGTCATGAAGTCGGTCTGCAATAGTATGGCCACCATCATGATGCCTACAGGCGATACCCCAGTTGAGACCGATTTCAATTTCCATCAAATCAGTCCACAGATATCCGGGTCGATGATGTCACTTCCGAAGCCAGACGACAAATACCTGCACATCACATGGGGAATCCATTGTCGCACAAGTGTCGATTCCGCTGCTTGTGTCTGGTGGCGGACCAGTCAGAGAAGAGTCCAGCGTATCCAGCCACAACAGGCGCAGAGAATGATGTATCAACATCGACTGATTCCAGCCTCCATCTCGCCCGTACATGCCAGTGTACACCCCCTACATGGGATGGGGGGCAGCCACACAACCAAAAGCACCGTGTCTGTATGTGTCCAATGTACTAAGTACAAAACGTTTACTCGGGCTACTACATCCACAATGGTGCGCCCCGTCTCAGAGTCGCCCTGAGAGGAGAAACCCCTGAGAGGGAGGAATTCGCTTTCTTTGCAATCGGACTTTTTCTCATCTTGAAACGGACTCTTGCATGCCAGTCAACTGACGATCGAACTCATCGATGACTGAACGTATGTACAATGCATTCACCCAAGGAACGTGAATGCGATGAGTCTTCCCCCAAGACACCTCCCCTGGCCTTCACTCACTATCTGCCTACCTTCGTTCTTGTCGCTGGGGACTTTCTTGTCGCCGCAGAGCGCCTCGCTGGTCTGCATCGACTTGGCCTGGCTCAGGATCCACTGGACGAAGTTGGTCATGTGCGGCTGGCCGGCGTACCTTCCGCTGGTGTGTGTCGTTGTCCACCCCTCCTGCCCGCCCACTGTCAGAAAGCGGGTGAGCTGCTTCTTCCACAGAGACTTCTGCTGCAGGGCGGTCCTGTGCATCTTCTTCTCGGCTGCGTACAACCGACCTGAACGACGGACACAACAAGCAACGACAATGCAATGGACAGATGGCCTGAGGTGTGGTGGTGTTCGCCTCTCTGATGCCGCAGCGTGCTCCCGGTTCATTCCTTCACTCATCGCCCACCACATACAGACGACCCAGGGTCAAACCGAGGGGGGTCTGTTTCGTCTGACCGCCGGGCCGGCGGTCAGACGACATGGACCCCCCCTTGCGATCGACCACCTCAGATCAAAAAGAAGGGCCCTTTTGATCTGAGTTACCAGCACGCAAGGGGGGGGGGCCGGCGGTCAGACGAAACAGACGCCCCTCAGTTTGACCCTGGGTTGTCTGTATCTGGTGGGCGATGAGTGAAGGAATGGACCGGCAGCACTCTGCGGTCGAAGTGGCCCACTTGTAGAAAGTCTTGACTGGGACGGGGAAGAGAGATCTCGTAGATGATGTAGCGGTACAAAATCACCAGCAACGCGACGACACGATGTGCGCCATCAGTCAATCGACCAGATGGGTGACACCATGCTTCTCGCCCCCCCAGCCGACGAGGGCCTCTGTAACCCAATGCTGAGCGAAGTTCTGCTCATTCTTGAGATATCGGATCGCATCACCCACCTGTACCCACAGACACACCCACGCGCCACAAAGGAATGGATGACTTGCCGCACGGACCCATCATTGTGTGTGGAAGAGTCATCGCATTCATGTTCCTTGCGTGAATGCATTGTGCGTCTATACGTTCGGTCATCGATGAGTTCGATCGTCATGGCAGGCAGAAGTCCGTTTCGCGATGAGAATAAGTCCGATTGCAAAGAAAGCGAATTGAGGGATATGACACGATTGGACTGATTATTCCTGATCGATGTTGGGCTTACGGCACTCCAGATCCTTCCCCGCACTCCGTTGTCCTTTGCAAGTCATGTAGCTATGCTTCCCACCGTCAGGACTGCATGGCCTGCAGAGTCCAGACAGTGGCAGGCAACCCCCACGCGTAACCCGGTGCAGCCCTGTTCCAGGGCTAGCCGCAGTACATCGATCACGGCCATCTCTGTCTCTGTGTCCCGCATAACCACTCGCTGTTACCAACAGCTTGCCATCTGAGACACCGGGAGTGACGGTATCTCTGTACGTGTGAAGAATGAGTTTCCGATCCGACTTCCCAAATCGGTGCCGAGACAATCATCCGGGTACGAACTGATGCAAACGACGAGTCAAATCCATTGGTCTGGTGGTGAGATAGACGGCATTTCACACCTCAGTGTGAGCCCGTTTCCAATCGGGTCCGTAGCATTGTATTCGTCGACAGCTTGATGACATCGCCGGCAGCCAATCCGGCGACATTTGTGGCATGCTCTGCTTCATCAGCTTCATCGTCACGACCTGCTGTGCGAGGAGTAGCGGCGCATCATCGCCAGCGTCAAGATCACCGTCGACCGAGTAGTCAACCTGGCGCACCTGGGCGTCTACCCGGCCACCACCGATCCAGACGGCAAACGGATCGACCTCTACTGGGTGGAGGAGGGAAAAGGCGGGAAAAGGCATGCTCGGCGACGTCACCCTGTTGCCAGACCTACAACAACCACAACAACAACCACAACAACAGAAGGAACGGCAATCAGTGGAACTCATCAGGGGCGCCTTTCCGCGCCTACCCGAGTGGCAATGGGGGACATCAAGGAGGCAGCGGTGGACGCCAGCAGCAGCCTCTCGTTCGTCACGACAAGGACGGAGATGTCATCATGAATGCCACGCGCACGAACGGCACGGGCAACCGTAATCGGCGCATTCACACGAATCAACTCGACGGGTGTGAGCAGATAAACGACACCTACGAGCAAAGAGAAATCGACCTGGAAATGGTGGGAACCGTCACGGACGTTGAGTGCGAGGAAGAGGTGGTCAACGTCAGTGGTGTGTCTGTGAGACCTACCTCCATGATGATCGATTCAGGAGCCGGCAAGACATGCTGTCACCAGCAGTTTCTCTTCAACGACATCGAACCACTTGACCGACACATCAAGATCGTCATGGCCGATGGCACGTCCGTACCGGCCAGAGGAGTTGGCCGCATCAAGTACACCTGCAAAGAGGTCAACAACGGCAAGAAGACCGTGTGTGTGGATGGTGTGCTGTATGTGCCTGATCTGAAGTTCAACCTCCTCTCCGTCGCTCACCTGGTGGATCAATACTGCATCGAGTTTCTTATTGGCCCCGGTGCAGCCCACATGACCGCAACAAGGAGAGGAGACCGCTACCCGCTGGTCAGACGTGGTCGTTTCTGTTACCTGGACATCTACAGGAATGCCAACGACTGCCCCGTCTACTCACAGCCACGTGCCCTGCCGGCAGCAGAGTACACGACAGCCACAGCAACAGAAAGAATCATCGACTCGAGTGGTGATGATGGCGCGTTTCCCTGTTCACCTGCTGATGAAGGTCACAAGCAAACAGGAGCAATGGTGGCCGAGGTCATCAGTGAGGAACTTGCCCATAAGCGCTTCCTCCACTACCACGACGCAGCCGTCGACCGACTTTCTGAGGTCTGTCGCAACGCACCTGTGGTCAAGAAAGGCAAGAAGAATGAGGGAGAGCAGCGCAAGTGCGAGGTGTGTGTCCAAGCCAAGATGAAGATTCGTCCGTACCTGAACAATGCATTCCGGCATTCGTCACCCGGTGATCTGGTGCACGTCGACCTGGCGCAGATCAAGCAACTCAGCGAGAGAGGATTCAAGTACCTGATGGTCGTGGTGGACGACCACAGCCGTTATGTGCAGGCCTACTTTCTCAAAAAGAAGTCCATCGCACCGAAGGCATTTATGCACTACTGCACGGCCATCCGCATGCCCAACGCAGTGAGGACCGACGGAGGGGCCGAGCTCATCGCCGGCACATGGAAGGCATTCTGCGAGCAGCACCAGATACGCCAAGAACAAAGCCTACCGCACCATCAGTCACAAAACGGCGTGGCAGAACGAACGATTGGTGTGATTTGTCAGCTGACCCGTGCAGCACTCTTTCAATCCGGCCTTCCCTCATCTTATTGGTGTTTTGCTGCGAAAACCGCCACCTACATCAAGAATCGAATGCCAACGAAAAGAAATCCATCAGAGAAGACGCCATTTGAGCTTTTCTGGGGTTACCCGCCATGCATCAGGCATATCCGCACATTCGGCGCAAGAGCCTATGTGCGTCAGCGCAAGGACCAGAGGGGCAAGCTGGGTCCACGGGCGAAGTTGGGTATCCTCGTCGGCTTCGACCCCAACACGAAGGATGGTTATGTGGTGTGGTTCCCTGATGATCGTCAATTCGTCATGTAACGAGACGTCGAAGTGGACGAGCACGTGTTTCCTGCAAAGGAGAAGCAACCAAGGGGACCACTAGGGATTGATGTGGTGTACCCCCAGACGCCCGTCTCACCTGACGAGCAGACCGACCACCATCAAGACCACGATCGTGCCCAGCAACCTGAAGATGATCGACAGCATCAAGAAGATGAGTGTGTCGACCAACACAGCCAAGATCAAGAGCCTCACAGCTCTGCATCGCGCGAAGGACCGCCAGCAGCACCACCAGTACCGCCCGCCGCTCAAGATGCTCCAGATGCAGAAGAAGCCGCCGCTGATACCGATGGAGGTGCCGCTGACGACTATCGAGTCATTCGAGAGGAAATGGGGATAAAAAAGATGGACGACAATGCCGAGCACCGAAGATCAGGCCGAAACCGCCTCATCCCTCGATGGCTGTACGAGGACAACATCTTTGCCGTCATCGAGCGCCTCTGTGTGGCTGACGATGTGGACGCCACGATTCCCAGCCTGATCGTCGACACCGACGCCCCGGCAGAGGCCGCCGTCATCGCAACAGACCCGCCATCCACTTCCGATGTCACAGCTCTTCGCATCGAAGGTTCCCAAGACCTACCAACAAGCAATGAACGCATTCGACGCCTGTCACTGGCAAGATGCGATGGATCGGGAGATGCAATCAGTCACTGACCTGGGTGTGTTCGAGTACGTACCCCGCTCTCAAGCGACCAGTCGGCCGATATCCTGTCGATGGGTGTACGCCCTGAAGCCTGACAAGTACAAGGCCCGCATCGTCGCCCGCGGATTCGAACAGGACAAGAACCAAGTGGAGGATGTGTTCGCCCCGACGCCCTCTTACCACGTCGTGCGAGCAGTCCTGGCCATCGCCAATCAACTCGATTTGGAGATTCACCAAATGGACGTCAACACAGCATTTCTCAACGCGCCGCTCGACAAGCCAGTGTTCATGGAGTGCCCACCTGGATACGAGCGCCCGAGATATGTTGTCCGCCGCCGGAAGGCCCTTTATGAACTCAAAGATGCCGCGCGCGCGTGGAACTCACCCTCCACAACCAACTCCTGCATCTCGGCT